CCATGATCTCCATCATCATGATCTCCATCATCGTGTCTTCATGAAGTTGTCACGCCAACGACTACTTCTACTTCTATGACTAACGCGTTTAGCAATAAAGTAAAGTAGTTTACATGGTGTTCTTCAATGACACGCAGGTTATACAAAAAATAAAGACAACTCCTATGGCTCCTGCCGGTTGTCATACTCATCGACATGCAAGTCGTGAATCCTATTACAAGAACATGATCAATCTCATACATCACATATCATTCATCACATTCTTCTGGCCATATCACATCACAAAGCATACCCTGCAAAAACAAGTTAGACGTCCTCTAATTGTTGTTTGCATGTTTTACGTGGCTGCTATGGGTTTCTAGCAAGAACGTTTCTTACCTACGCAATACCACAACGTGATATGCCAATTGCTATTTACCCTTCATAAGGACCCTTTTCATCGAATCTGTTCCGACTAAAGTGGGAGAGACTGGCACCCGCTAGCCACCTTATGCACCAAGTGCATGTCAATCGGTGGAACCTGTCTCACGTAAGAGTACATGTAAGGTCGGTCCGGGCCGCTTCATCCCACAATACCGTTGAAACAAGATTGGACTAGTAACGGTAAGCATATTGAACAACATCAACGCCCACAACTACTTTGTGTTCTACTCGTGCAAAGAATCTACGCAATAGACCTAGCTCATGATGCCACTGTTGGGGAACGTAGCAGAAATTCAAAATTTTCCTACGTGTCACCAAGATCTATCTATGGAGAGACCAGCAACGAGTAGAAAGAGAGTGCATCTACATACCCTTGTAGATCGCTAAGCGGAAGCGTTCAAGTGAACAGGGTTGATGGAGTCGTACTCGTCGTGATTCAAATCACCGATGATCAAGTGCCGAACGGACGGCACCTCCGCGTTCAACACACGTATAGCCCGGTGACGTCTCCCACGCCTTGATCCAGCAAGGAGAGAGGGAGAGGTTGAGGAAGACTCCATCCAACAGCAGCACAACGGCGTGGTGGTGGTGGAGGAGCGTGGCAATCCCGCAGGGCTTCGCCAAGCACCATGGGAGAAGAGGAGGAGGGAGAGGGGCAGGGCTGCACCAACGAGAGATCAAATCATGTGTTATGGGCAGCCCCATGCCTCAATATATATAGGGGAAGGGGAGGGCTGCGCCCCCTTTAGGGTTTCCCACCCCAAGGGGCGGCGGCCAGCCTCCAGATGGCATCTGGTGCGGCGGCCAAGAGGGGGGGAGGAGTCCATCCTCCCCAAGGCACCTCGGAGGTGCCTTCCCCCTTGAGGACTCTTCCCTCTAGGGTTCCCTAGGCGCATGGGCCTCTTGGGGCTGGTGCCCTTGGACCATGTAGGCCAAGGCGCACCCCCTACAGCCCATGTGCCCCCCCGGGGCAGGTGGCCCCACCCGGTGGGCCCCCGGGACCCTTCCGGTGGTCCCGGTACAATACCGATGACCCCGAAACTTGTCCCGATGGCCGAAACAGGACTTCCTATATATAAATCTTTACCTCCGGACCATTCCGAAACTCCTCGTGACGTCCGGGATCTCATCCGGGACTCCGAACAACATTCGGTAACCACATACAAGCTTCCTTTATAACCCTAGCGTCATCGAACCTTAAGTGTGTAGACCCTACGGGTTCGGGAGACATGCAGACATGACCGAGACGTTCTCCGGTCAATAACCAACAGCGGGATCTGGATATCCATGTTGGCTCCCACATGTTCCACGATGATCTCATCGGATGAACCACGATGTCAAGGACTTAATCAATCCCGTATTCAATTCCCTTTGTCTATCGGTATGTTACTTGCCCGAGATTCGATCGTCGGTATCCAATACCTTGTTCAATCTCGTTACCGACAAGTCACTTTACTCGTTCCGTAACACATCATCCCGTGATCAACTCCTTGGTCACATTGCGCATATGATGATGTCCTACCGAGTGGGCCCAGAGATACCTCTCCATTTACACGGAGTGACAAATCCCAGTCTCGATCCGCATAAAACAATAGATACTTTCGGAGATACCTGTAGTGCACCTTTATAGTCACCCAGTTACGTTGTGACGTTTGATACACCCAAAGCACTCCTACGGTATCCAGGAGTTACACGATCTCATGGTCAAAGGAAGAGATACTTGACATTGGCAAAGCTCTAGCAAACGAACTACACGATCTTTGTGCTATGCTTAGGATTGGGTCTTGTCCATCACATCATTCTCCTAATGATGTGATCCCGTTATCAACGACATCCAATGTCCATAGCCAGGAAACCATGACTATCTGTTGATCACAACGAGCTAGTCAACTAGAGGCTCACTAGGGACATATTGTGGTCTATGTATTCACACGTGTATTACGATTTCCGGATAATACAGTTATAGCATGAATAAAAGACAATTATCATGAACAAGGAAATATAATAATAATACTTTTATTATTGCCTCTAGGGCATATTTCCAACACCCACAACCATGCACTTCTGGTAACCAGAGAACCCAATCATTCCCAGAGCGTCCTTCTTCAATATGAAGTAGTCATCAAAGGACCAGACTCCATGGTAGAGATGATCAAAGACATTTTTGCACATCCGAAAGCGCCGGCGAAAATTGTAAGTGAAGAGGGCCCCGGGGGCAAAGTAGTCGTCCATCAGTGTCAAACGGCCATGCTCTCTGTTGCGGTTGAGCACTCGACAACCCTTGATCGATCCCTTGAAATTGAGAACATGCTCTTCTACACGCTTCGGGTATGCAAGAACTGCCTGCGTCATCACCATCTCATCCGGTAGTCCTCCTTGTCGGACTAGCCGTTGGACGACTCAACATTGTGCTTGTATACGTACTCCATATCCGAATTAATTGCTTCAGAGAAGAAGAGACAAAAAAATAGCACGGGCATTTCACCGAAAGGTTGTCGGGCATGGTGACTATTATAGGAGCAGATGGTACCTGTGCCGCGGTCGGAGGAGAGGAGTGGAACGACGGAGGAGGAGAAGTGGCATGGAGCCGGGGTGTACCGTTGGAGGTGACGGACTAAATTTTGGGATCAAGAGATCCTTTGGTACATCATCACAACTTGTGTGATCATGCACACCATGACCATTGAGAATGAGCATGGGAAATATTTGATTACACCTTCTATGATCTTCATGGAAAAAACGGTGCACCTGCGTAGAAGGCAAGACCGAGTTTGACACTTTCTTGAGGTGTACCATAACATTAGATGTCCCCATACACATGGAGATCATCAAAAATATCTCATGGAGGAGTGATGTACATGGCACGGGCAACAAGATTGATGAACTATCTTGTATTGTTTGATGAATACTTTGTGTTAAAGTTGATGTTGTGGATTGATGAACTATGTGAGTATTTTGTTGTCGTAGATTGATGTTTTTTTTTCATGTTTGCACTATTTAATTTGTATTAAATTTATATGAGTTTGATATTAATACGTAGTACGACTGCTATTTGAAGAAGAAATATGCAGTGCAGCTGCTGTTTTCGTGTTGCTGTTGGAGACGTGGTGTCCAAATTTAGGGTGACTATTAGAGATGCACATTTTTTTTGTGCCCAAAGGATCACCTTTTGCTTCCCTAAATTTTACTCCGCAGATTTTTTGAAACCTTAGAGGGCCGCTATCTGATCCCCGGAGCGAACGACCTCCTACCCTTTAGAGGATATATTTGCTCCTCTAAAAAAGTGTGGTTTTTAACCAATCCCCGAAGGTTAACTCTCTAATATTTCAACACAAAATTTGTATATGTTTGTACCATCGAGTTAAACTTCACTCCTCAACTATTTTATTAAATGACATCTTGGTCACATATTTCACAAGCTTTTCATGGAAAAAACCGATCCAAAGAAAATTATAAGAAAAAATACGCACTTCACTAAAAACACCACTTCCTTAAGTGATTCTACTAGTTGATATTTTCTATTGGCTTCTCGAACTTGCACACTTCTGTCTTGTCCGCCTCCTCAAACTTGAACATTTGGTCCTCTTTAGTCTCATCTCTAGCAACCAATGCACCAACATCTCACTATCAATAGATCAATGTACTTTCCTTCCTAGTAGCAAAACTTGCATCTTTTCTACATACATTTTTAAGCAAACAATGAGTTTCAAATTGCGGCCAATCCGAAGAACAATCTAACAAAATGGCACTCACTTCGTCCTTTCATACTTGTAGAAAACCCATCTGGGGTGTTTGGGCATGCCCGCTACGAGGTGCAACATCAGCTGCCAATGGTGATCACACTTGATGACTGGTAGAGGCTCGTCTACGAGCTCCTGGGCTAGGGCTGAGCCCGGCTAACGGGCGTACGTGGCTGTGTCGGCGGTCGCTCAACGGTTGAGATGCGAGCGCCGAGAGGAGAAGAACATACCGAGAGGCGGCGCAGAGCGGTCGAGGTGGTTGCGCGGTTCGGTCCCCGTCGAATCCCTTCAAGACGCGACAACGCCGAGGACCGAGTGCGTCGAATCCGGCCATGGGCGTAGATCCGTCGATTTAGGCATCAATAATGAGAAGCAACCGAATCGAGGTGTGAAGGAGCGCGGCGGTTGCTATGAGGGGTCGGCGGTGGCTTGTGGTGGCCAGCTAAAATGGGGCGGCGCTTGAATGGATGCGACGTGGGGTGGGGAGGGTGCGGGTGAGGAGGGGGGTTGGTGTGTGTGTGTGGGGTGGGGGTGGGGGTGGGGGTAAGAGGGACCGTGCAATTTGGAAGGGAAAAACTGTATTTTTACTCATGTAAAGCTTTACAGGGATCGGTTAGGGATGCTCTTAGAAAGTACAGTACATATAGTCTGACAAACTGCACGGTCGGGGGTGGAGGTAAGAGGGACCGTGCAGTTTGGAAGGAAAAAACGGTATTTTTACTTGTGTAAAGCTTTACAGGAATCGGTTAGGGATGCTCTTAGACAGTACAGTACATACAGTCTGACGAACCCTAACCCCTCGGGCCGAAATCCCCTGGCCCTGGCTCAAGGAGAGCAATGGCGTGGAGCAGGACAGCACACCGGCGCAGCGCCGTCATGCCACTCTTACGCGCCGCGCTGCGCCGCTTCCTCTCCACGGAGTCTTCGGGGTTCCCGAAGCTACGGAACCTTCCGTACCGACTCCGCCGCGCCGCCGTCCCCGCTGCGCGCACCGCCGTCTCCGACTACCTCATCTCAACGCGCTGCCTCCCCTCCTCCCACGCCGACTCAATCACTGCGCTTGCGCCGTGCTCCCTCCACACCTTCCTCGCCGGCATCCCAGCCGTGCCCAGTACGCTCCCCTCCTCCGACCTCCCCTCCCTCCTCCGCCGCCACCTCTCCTACCATCCGCTCAACGAGCTTCCCTTCTTCCTCGAGTCCATCGGCTTGCCCCCTTCCACCGATTCCGATCTCATGTTCCTCACCGACCATCCGTCCCTCCTCCCCACCGTTGCCGCGCTCGCGCATTTCGGCTTCCCGTGGTCCCGTCTTGGCCTGCTATTCCCCAATGTCCTCCTCCAAGTCCCTTCCGACCTCATCTCCGCCCGCCTTGTCGCCCTCGAGGAAAGCCTCCGTCCGCTGCCGCGTGCTGCGATTATCGCTGCCTGCCTCTCTTTCCCCTTGCTTATTGAGAACGATCTCTCCAGCAGTGCCCCCCTTGTCGATGATCTTATGAGGGCGTATGGAGGATTGGGTCCGGATTTGGGGGCTAGCAATGACATTGATGTGTTCTTGCGAGTGTGCGGCAGGATGCAGATGTTCTACGATGCTGGGATGAAGGTTGGGAGCATCGGGGGGCTTGTTGGGTGCAATCAGAGGGTTTTTCTTGAGCTTAAGGAGGAGCGGATTGGTGAGAGGTTGAAATTCTTCAAGAGGCTGGGGCTGCCAGGGGAGGAGGCAGGGAGCTTCTTACTGAGCAATCCTGGGGTTTTGGATCTTGATTTTGATGATGTGGTGATCTCAGTGCCAGAGTACCTGAGGAGAGTTGGGTTGGCAGATGACGAGGTTGATGTGGCGGTGAAGAAGCACCCGTATGTGGTTGGGAGGAACAGATTGGAGAACCTCCCTGGTGTGCTGCGTGCAATGGGACTGAGTCATCGATTCCTGGAGAAGATTTCTGGTGGCGGTGAGAGCTTGCGGTATTTATCACCAGATTTCGTCTTGGAGGATGCTAGTTATGATATGGAGGTGGAGAGAGCATTCTCAGACAGAATGGTTAAGGTGAAGGTGGAGATGAATGCACAGCATGTGGACACCAAGCTTGAGTTCTTGAAGAGCATTGGGTATGGTGAGAACAAAAAAACCGCACACATACTTCCTGTTCTGCACAGCACTCGGGAAATGCTGAATGAGCGATTTGACTACCTCCTGGAAAGAGGGGTGGAGTACAAGATGCTGTGTCGGATCGTGAGTGTGTTCCCAAAGGTGCTGAACCAGGGCAAGGAGATGCTCAATGAAAAGTTGAACTACATGACTCTGGATCTGGGATACTCTTTGGAGTATCTTGATTGCTTCCCAGCATTACTGTGCTTTGATTTGGAGAACCGGGTCAAGCCTAGGTATGCAATGCTTCGGTGGCTCCAAAGTTATGGTCTTTTTAAAAGACCATTAGCGCCTGCAACTGTGCTTGCTAACTCAGAGAAGAGGTTCATTTCCAACCTCTACAATATGCATCCCGCAGCGCCGAAGCTGTGGCTTGAGTGCTTCTCTTCAAGAATACACATGGAATATTACCTCAAGAATATACAGTCCCAGCATCCAGATAATGAATAATTAGCTATTGAATTATATTGGCATGATTATCAGAGCCGGAGGTACAGAGGATTGTCATCTCCAATTGTGGCATGCTTTCCCTCAGAAGGTACTTCTGAGTTGTTATATCTTCCCATTGTGCAAAATTCTTTGCTCAGCGTGTTTTAGCTGTAGACACTGGATGTAGGATGAAATGGAATATATCAATTCAATAGCCAACCATGTAATTCAATTTTGCAAAAATTGTGCTGTACATTGTAGCTCTGAGACTAGTCACATTTCTGCCCCGTTTGGCGGATATGTATTTCAAGGAAAGATATTCTGTATTGATCCGATGTGAAAGACTATCACTGATAATAATTAACATTTTTGTTATCGATCGTACCATCATCCTCATATCATTGCATCATGCTGAACTCATGTATAATTTCCAAGTGGATGATAATTTTCGGCTAATCACTCAGCCATGGTATCTTCTCTGGTGACGCAATGGTAAGGACATGCTATATTAAACATAGATTGCTCCCTTCTGACAGGAAAAAACCTTGATTTATTTGTATCTCTCTTCTTAATAGGTGGTGAATAAAGGGGCTTCTCAGGGCCATTGCATTTGTGGCCGTTAGATTTGGTGCTCCCTCTGATCTCAGCCGTCCATTTTTTGCACTGTGTAAGATAAAAGTCAAGCCACCAGTGGTAGAAAACCCTACCCGCTGCTCGGGCCCCTCCTTTCGCGCTCGTTTCCATTGCTTCGCCACCACCATTCTTCTCCTCCTTCCTCCTCTCCCCGTGGTAGGCCGGCGCCGCTGCTGCCTCGTTCCTCTGCTCCTTCACGTCCGTCAGCCTCCGTCTTGAGCAGGGCACAGTAACCATGTACCATCTAATCAGAACTGGACTGCATTGGCGAAACATAACAGGTTAATCACTGCTGAAAACATGTTGACTCTAGATCAGGACACCCCAGTCCAGAAATCCATTGTAGAAGAGTTAAGTCACACTGATCATCATGACTGGTAATTAGTGGTGGCAGGACATTCGCTTAATAATGCACATGAAAAGATTTCTTTTTCTACATCCATTGCCATAACATCTGAATAACTGCATAGCTAGATGTTGAAAGAGATGCAATCTTTTGTCAATGCACAAATGTGCTGTTGTGGTTCTTGATTGCTATTAATTGATTGTACCTAATATTGTTGCATGACGTTATGCAAAAAAGAATCAGAAGTAGCTCCGAGTCAAGTGAGGTTTAACATCAGTGATATTTTTACATGATTGCATTTTAAGCTAGCACCTCCTGCTTTAAAAAAATCATTATCACCTCCTGTTATTTTGATTCATTCACACCTTTCTATCATTAGTCATAAGTATCTTCTGCCGCTCTAGGATTATGGCCAATCGTTATCTATCTATGATACAAGATAGAGTCAAAAGGGAAAACATGGTATTCTCTGATACAAGTTCATGGCACCTTGGATTGGATCCATATGGTGCATACCAGGAACAAAAATTTCTTATGGTCCAAAGATTCGAGTGGAGGTATAAATAGGTATTTATCTGCAGAGGTGTGTTTACGTAATTAGTTCGGTATGTACCTTTCTATTTCATATCCCACACATCTGTTAACACCTTATATGGTTCCATTCTGTAGGTTGCACTATCCACTCTTTGAGTGATTGCAGGTAATCTACAATATTCATAAAGCTTAATCGGAAACCATAGGTGTGAGGGTTACCTTTCAAATACATATTGTGATCGTTGAAAACTCTCCGTGTAGACTTGGTACTGTTCGCTCTGGTGTTCCATGGCAGTGTGCAACATCTATTGGATGATACAAATGTGTGTTCCCTGCTCTCTTTTTTTGGCAGAATGTTCTGTTAAGTTTTGAATAATAATATCCTAAATAATTTGGATAAAAGATAGTTTGATGCGTGCATGTGTAATAAATCCATATATTGTTTTGAGAAATGTTTAAATCAATTTATGCTGCATTGTTGCCATCTAATTTTTAAATCCTTGGTTTTTTAGCCAGAAGGGGGGCATGGGCGCAGCGGTAAAGCTGTTGCCTCTTGCAGGTTCGAGTCCTGGAAACAGCCTCTTGCATAAATGTAGGGAAAGGCTGTGTAAAAAAGACCCAAAGTGGCCAGACCCTGCGCAAGCGGGAGCTACTCAGCTACGTGCTCCGGGCTGCCCCGTTTTTTTAGTTTTTAGCCAAAACTGTAGAAATTTCTCTTGCTATATTTTCATTGTGTTGTTTCTATTACTTATGTTTATATTCTCTTGCTATCCTGCATTTCTAATATCCAGATTGACAATCACTAAAATTTGTACAGAGAGTAAAAGTAGCTATACACACTTAGGTCTTACTCTGCAAGTAACCGAACAAATGAGCAGTTGATTTCTTAACTGAAGAAATCACTATTACCATTTTAAATGCTTACCGTTTTCTTCCCTTGGTGGTGCTTACGAAACGGTAACAGCAAAAACCAAGTGACATGAGGCAGAAAGAAGAAGACATTCCTGCATCAGGTTGAGCATTACAAATCCCTGCTATCTGAATGTGAAGTCAAGACAAAGTCCAAGGTGGAGGAGCTGCAAAAAAATAACATCCTGCAGGTGACAAAAAAAGGCGATATTTCCTTGCAATTCCTCCTTTCAAGCTAAAGAGTGCACTTTCTTAGGCTGTCATTAGTTTTCACCGGGTCATACTTACTCCATGACACCAGGTACGATGATTAGTTTCTATGTACTCCATCTGCTACAGTCACAGTTAACTGTTGCATGACCAGGATTTAGAGGATCCTTTTCCATTATTCAGAGTTAGAGGATCCTTTTCTAACTGCACCAGAAAATTAGGAAGCTATGAAGAAAAGGAGCTCATTTGTTTTTAGATTAAAACTGCAATATTGCAATAAAAAAACAGTTGTATTTATATAAATTACTAACATTGATAAGTGACACTGCATTGATGCCTCTCTTTGCTTTTCTAGAATCTTTCTTTTACTCTAAATTTGGAAGATCTTAGGACAATTTGTCTTTGATGGATTTTCCTTATGAATAATGCTCTTCTATTTATGTTTCAGGCCATGGTCTTATCAAAATGAGGAGTGTGAAAGAATTCTTAGGTGGGTTCAATTTAAATTTTGACAACCAGTGCGCCTACATGGGCTAGCACTTCTAATATTTATTTATTTATGGATTTCCTTGCTCCTTTCTTCTGTATTGTGATTGATACCGGTGGTTTTCTCTATATCAGGCCAGAGTTGTTGTAAGAGATCAGTGTTCACGTCCCCGCTTCGACCTTTAGGACTGGTAATTTGGCAAGATCTAGAATCGGGGTTTACTACTTGAAAGTCCATGGTCAGTAATAGCCTCATTCTCTTGATTAACTGCAGATTTATGCTATTACCTGTTGTATTCAGTCAAGTAACGTATATATTGGAAGCTCTACGCTTGTGTGCACTATAATAGAATTTCTTCTGGTCTTTTATGGAAATCTGCAACGCACTGCATGTTTTATTTGTCCATGACAATGGAGTACTCATGTTTTATCTAAAAAAATGCAAAACAATTCTTATTTGTACCTTCTGCGGGCTGATGCAATTGTTGCGAAGAACACTGTCAGTTCAGCGGTTGTCATGATGCAAAACAATCGACTGTTGATCTGCTTGCTGCTTGTGCTACTAAAGGTTAATTGGAAGACCTTTTACTACCATCGTTGCACGGAAGGTTTGGTGAAACTGGTGTGTCTCAGTGGATGCAAAATAACATATTGGTGACATATGATGAACGTATACTTTCCATAATGACAATGGAGTATTATTTTTTTATATATTCTAAACCAAATAGCAGAAGGAGCTTGTGGAATTGGATATTTTGTAGTTTAGCTTTGTAGTCTTTGATATTTCTTTGTTGTTGCACTACTCCCTTCCTTCCTAAATATAAGCCTTTTTTAGAGATATTAATATGGACTACATGTGGAGCAAAATGAGTGGATATGCACTACCGCGGTTGCCTCTGCTGAGCTTGATGTTGTGTTATCTTTGTTGCAGGATTTCGACCACAATGCCGCCGCCGCCGCCGACGACGGGCTTCCGTTCTCCAGCAAGAACACCTACCATCTCCTCATCGGACAGCCCAACCACGACATTAGCACCCATCTCATTTTGGCAACCCGTGTCCCCATCAAGGTGCAGGTCTTCGCCTGGCTACTCTTCAAGGACCACCTCAACTCCAAGGTGACCTCTTCCACAAGACCATCGCCCCTGACACCATTTGCACCGGGTGTGGTGTATGGTTGAGCTTAACTTCCTGAAGGGCGATCCATAGATGGTGGATTTGCAGCTGAGTTGCAAGGTGACCCTGTGCATAACTTGCATCAATGCTCCGTTCAGGTGCCCTCTGAAACCAGCAACGTCTTCCCGCGACTCAGCTTTAAAAAAAAATGAAGGCACAATCTCCATTGGGGCTTTGCCATGCAGCCATCTAGAGATCTAGAAGCTCGTCTTCTTTTCATTCCGAGATGTATGTTTGGTGCAAGCATCAAAGAGACATTGATCTGTGATGTCGCCAGGGATAGCAGCGTCATGCCATGGCTTGGCTTGGAATGATCTGTCCAACTGAACAAGTGCCAACGCAGTGGCAAAGCCTTGCTAAATTTGTGGAGATCCAGAACACCTAGCGCTGAAGCTTGACCTACTACTTGTATGATGATGCGGGGTGCATATATTTTAGTTGGGCGACATGGAGGAGTTTGATTATACATTGCCTATTTGACTGGTGGTACTAGTGCATTGAAGAACTAGTTCACACACTATTGTTCTACAATCAAGTAAATCAAAAGTATGCAGTATTGTATTTCTGGGGGAGCAATTGAGCATCAGTCTCTGCAGGAACGTCAGGGTACAAGGATGGATGGGATCGGAGGATAATTGGTGCCACAGCTTTAAAAAACACCGACCTCGGAGACAATAAAGTTGAGAGGGATACATCAGGGCAATACATTTCTGTATCTGGGTATAATG